CTTCCCCGTCTCCCTCTCTCTGTGTCTTTGCGAACTTTGATCAGCTGGTCCTTCCAATTGGATGTGATTTATGTGTTCAGAGCTTCTATCAGGGTGACTCATTGTGCTGGGCGAATGCTAATTGACATTGTCTCCCTGTCAAGCGAATGTTGTTCCAGCCTCTTCCCTTTTGTCTCCCTGCTCAAAGCAAAACAATGAAGTTGTCCGTTTGCTGAAGCTGGAGATCCAGTCATGCAGAAATATTGTCATGTTGGCACCAGCAGGGAGACTTGTGCAGCCAAAGACACAGACATGGTGTATCCCTACATTGGGCAGACCTGACTTGAGGATGTCTGGTTCCCGTCTCAGGAATATTTGAAGAGCAATTGGGCTTTCAAGTCATGAAGCTTATGCTGCTTTCTTGTGCTTTCTGCTCTGTCATTTTGACAACATTTCCTTTCAAGCTCTAAGCACTGATGGCATTCTCTGTTGTCAAAGCTTATCTGAGGCACTGGGCTTTAAAACTATGGTGTCTTATTTGACCCCGTTATGACCTTATGGCTTGAAATATGCACCAACAGCAAGACAACCAGCTATCACTCCTGTACCGTTCCCTGATACCCCTCTTGCTTCATCTTATTTGCTGCTGAAACCCTCATCCATGCCATTACTGTGAGCACACTTTAGGAGGGATAAATAGGGGGAATACGTTTGCAAGAATGATATCTGAACTTCAGGGGTTAAGGTATGAGGACAAGTTATAAAAATTACATGTGTTTTCTCTAGAATTTAGAGGGACAAAGGGTGATCTGATCCAAGTCTTCCAAGATAATAACAGGAAAAGACAGGGCAGATAAACCATCTTCTCTGGTTGAAAATACTATAACTACAGGGAATACTCTGAGAATTAGGGCCAGACCATTCAGGAAGCATTTCTACACATAAAAGATGATAGATATTTGGAACTCTCTTCCACAAGTAGCAGCGGATGCTGGATCAGTTGTTAATTTTAAATCTGAGATAAGTAATTTTTTGTTAAGCAAAGGTATTAAGGAATATGGGCCAAAGACAGGTATATGGAGTTAGGCCACAGATCAACCATGATCTCAATGAATAGTGGAACAGGATCAAGAGGCTGAATGGCCTACTCCTATTCCCAAATTCTGCATCTAGACTTAACGATTTCAACACATTTCCCAGACAGCCGCTATCAGAGGTTGCTGTGCATGTCGAAATTTGGAGTAATTCTCTTCATCCATTGTGCTCGCTGACCTACATTGACTCCTGGTCCAACAATGCCTCAATCTTAAAAAATATTGTCATTTCTATTTTCCAATCTCTTTATGGCCTTGCCCTTCTCTATCTCTGCCATTTCCTTCAACACTCCAAACCTCTCAGTTATTGGTGCTTCTCAAATCTTGGTCCCTGGGGCATTCCCAGTATTGTTAGTGGTTTTGCATAGAGTCATATAGCATGGAAACAGACCCTTTGGTCCAACTCGTCTGCACTGACCAGACATCCCAATCTGACCTAGTCTCATTTTCCAGCATTTGGGCAGAATTCCTCTGAACCTTTCCTATTCATGTAGCCATCAGATGCCTTTTCAATGTTGTAATTGTACCAGCCTCCACCACTTCCTCTGGCAGTTCATTCCATACACCCACCTCCCTCTGTGTGAAAAAAAGCTACCCCACAGATCCTTTTAAGTCTTTTCCATCTCACCTGAAACTTCTGCCCTCCAGTTTTGAACTCCCCCACCGTAGGAAAAAGATCTTGGCTGTTTGCCTTATCTGTGCCCCTCATGATTTTATAAACCTCATTGGGTCACCCCTCAGTCTCCTACACTCCAGGGAAAAAAGCCCCAGCCTATTCAGCCTCTCCCAATACCTTAAATCCTCCAATCGCCAGCAACATCCTTGTAAACTTTTTCTGTGCCCGTTCAAGTTGAACAATATCCTTCGTATAGAAGGGCGACCAGAATTGTACATGGCATTCCAAAAGTGGCCTCACCAACATCTTGTACAGTCACAACATAACATCCCAACTCCTATACTGAATGTTGTGACCAATGGAAGGCAAGTGTGCCAAATGCCTTCTTCACCACCCTGTCTACCTGTGACTCTATTTTCAAGGAACTATGCACCTGCACCTGGTTTGCCTTACCAAGATGCAGCTGGTTTGCCTTACCAAGATGCAGCACCTCACATTTATCTAAATTAAACTCCATCTGCCACATCTTGGCTCATTGGCCATCTTGTCAAGGACCTATTGTATTCTGAGATAATCTTCTTCACTGTCCACTACACCACCTATCTTGGTGTCATCTGCAAACTTACTAACCATACCTCCTATATTTACATCCAAATCATTTATATAAATGATGAAAACCAGTGGACCCAACACCGATCCTTGTGGCACTGGTAACTGAATACTGAGATCTAAAACACCCTCTCTTAACTAGTCCACTGCGAACTCGCTCCGCCCTGTCCTCTTTTAAAATGTTCTGTAATACCTATCCTTCGATCAAACTTTTTCTCATCTGTAATAATACCTCCTTATGTTGCTCAGCATCAGATTTTGCTCAACATTGTTCCTCTGATGTCGCTTAGGATATTTCCTTTAGTGAAAGATACTACATAAATTGTTGCCCATTGTACTGGCACCAGCTGTGGGCATGCAGAATTATTATTCACTGGAAATGCTGAGAAATTCAGCTCCTTGATTATCAAAGTAAATTTTCACTCTTGATGTCTAGAAACACCCTCTGATCTGAAGGGTTTGCTCCCAATAAACCATAAAACTCTGACTTGTGACTATTGAGCAGCAAATGACCATAAGGCTTCAGCAGGATATACCTAGGAATGACTTTAAGGTGGGATGGTATGTTGTGCTTTAATTACACAACATTCCGATGCTTATGAAACCCGTATTCAATTACAACGTTTTCTAACAATTCAAGTCCTTTTGGCATTATTTGAAAAAGGAGCAGATGAGCATTTCCTGCTCTCCGGGCCAATATTTATCTTTGCCTGCTTTTATGATTTTGTTTCAATCAGGTATTGTTTGTGGAAGCATACTGGGGACTTTTTTTTTACTGCTAGTGTTGGCACTTTGCTAAAAATCCTTTGGGGCATCCTAAGGTTGTAAAAACTGCCATATAAATGCAATATTTGATGTTTAATGGGTTTTTTTTATGTTCCCCTTTTCATGGGTTTGAAGTTGGGAGGGTAGGTTTTGTAAAATTCTTTGGTCACCTAAACACACCCGAACCCCTTCCCATTACCCTGCCTAAAGTCTTATGGGGAGTGAGGGGTTTGTTGGTGCAGGGTAGTCTTTAGGCAGCTTGCCTTCCCCTTGGGCCTTTTGAGGTCCTAAATTATCCAACGAATGACTATTTAAGGCCATCATCCCACTCCCACCATTCCTTTATCCTTGATAGGAAGAGGGCCAGGTAAAGCATCTGTTGGACAGGTAAAGGGATAGGACCTTCTTTGTGCGTCTGCTTTCCTCAACAGAAGGACCCTCATTACCCCCCACAACCCCATAGACATCATGTTACTCGCTTTACTCTCCCCCCAGGCCTCTCAAACCAAGACCCCACCATCCTCCACATCACATACTGCTTAACAGTAGGGAGATGATGCTGGGACCATATAAAATACTGATTAGGCTACAACTAGAGTACTGTGTGGAATGAACCTTGCGGGAGGGATGTGATGATACTGAAGAGGGTGGAGAAGAGATTTACCAGGATGTTGCCTGCACTGGAGAGTTTTAGTTATGAAGAGAGATTGAATAGACTGGTGTTGTTTTCCTTAGAGCAGAGGAGTCTGAGGAGCAACGTGATTAAGATGTATAAAATTCTGAGGGGCATAAACAAGTTAGGCAGGAAGCAACCCTTCCTATTGGTAGAGGGATCAATGAGGTGGCGTAAATTTAAGGTAAGGGGCAAGAGATTTAGAAGGGAAATGAGGAAAGAATTTTCATTCAGGGGATGGTGAGAATCTGGAACTCATATTGAAGACCTGTTTAGATGTGCACTTGCAATGCCAAGGCAATGGGCCAAATGCTGGTAAATGGGATTAAAATAGTTAGGTGGTTGTTTTTGATTAGCACAGACTGAATGGGCTGAAGGGCCTTATCCTGTGCTGTAGTCCTCTATTGCTTTATGACCCATCTCCTCACCAATGTCCAACCCACTCCTCCCTCCCCCCCACCCCCATCCCCACCACTCCTGCTGCCAGTGTCTGGTACTCCTGTACCTCGATATAGCTTTGAGTCCGGACCCCCACCTGTCTTCGCTGGAACTGCCTATAGTCTCAGCAGCAGGTACTGCTCAGAGCCAACCATTCTAGTGTCCTGCAGCTCTCTAGCCCAGAAAGAAAATCCAATAAATCTGCAAATGACACACATTCAAATAACCCATCATGTGTATCTCAAAGTGGAGCTCAGGATGTTTCTTTCCAAGTATTATTGTTTTGAGCTTCCTTTTTGCCCTGTGCAGTCTTTCCAATATATCTTTGTTGGTTTGGCTACCTGGGTGATCCTACCAGTAGCATCTGGTTGCCTCAACGATTAAACCAAGCATGCCTAAATGCACACATCTGGTACAGTGAAACTGCGAATAGCTCATTAAATCAGTTATGGTATGACGAAGGATATCTTTCCAATACAGGGACAGACGTCCTGCCTTAATACTACACGTATTAAGTTGATGCGGGACAGTAGGCAAAATTGTAGAAGGGCTTGCCACCAGAATTTTTAGTTAGATGATGGGGAATGTGGTATCCTGTTAAAATCAGGCCTGTTATCTCTTTTGAATTATTCACATGGAAGCCAAACCATAAGTCTTGGTCCTACAAGAGCTGCAACTAATTATCGTACAAAACAACATGAGAATGAAAGAACAGAGAAAGCTGGCTTGCATTCTTTGGTTTACTGACACTTTCTGATTCGCCAGACTCATGTCGCTGTTCAGCCTCTGGTGAGCCCCTTCACAATGTTACTTCCTTTTCCCACAGTTGGTCAGCTGGCAAGTGGAATGAATGCAGCAGGTCGTGCGGAGGAGGGAAGCAGACGCGACAGATCCAGTGTTTCCGCAAAGTCGCTTTCCAACGGGATGAAGCAGTCCCAAACTCCATGTGTCCCCTGGGGACACCTGCCCAGATACAACCCTGCAACATCCACGACTGCCCGGCTGAGTGGAGTATGGGAGCATGGACACAGGTAACCATTGCTCATGACTAGTCTACAAGTCATGGTCTTGCACACAGTATGCAGTGCATCCGTGAACTGAAGGAACGTGAGGAGCAAATGGGCCATTTTCAAGTCAACACATGCTGTTCTTGTTTCTAGTTTTCTGTTATAAATTCTGTAGTTCATATTTATAATATTTTTAATTTGATGTGGTATCATTGGCTAGGCCAGTATTTATTGCCCCCACCATCCCGAATTGCCCAGAGCGTCTGAAATCACACGTAGACCAGATTGGGTAAGGATTGCATAGAACATAGAATAGTACAGGCCCTTCAGCCCATGATGTTGTGCCGAATTTTTACCCTAAACCTAAGGTCTATCTAACCTCCACCCCTACCTTATACTATCATCCATATGCCTATCTAATAGCTGCTTAAATGCCCCTAATGAGGCCGACTCCACTACCCTCTCCGGCAGTATCCTTCCGAAAGGGCATTGTGAATCAGATTTTTTTTTTGGACAGTCAACAATGGCTTTATGGGTGTCATTAGATACTTAATTCAAGCTTCACCATTTGCCACAAGTGGGATTTGAATCTGGGTTTCCAGAGCATTACCTGGGTCTCTGGATTAATGGTGAAGTGATGATATCACTAAACCAACCTCTCCCCTATATGAGCATGCCTCACGTAATAACACCCTTTGACTCATAGTGGTCTTGCAGTGCCTCCTCTTGGAGGGGGATAATAATGACATATTTACATCTAACATCACATAAATTTTACAGCCCATTATGTCTGCACCAGTTCTCCAAACAAGCAATTCACTCAAAACCTTTCCCCAACCTTTTCTCGCATAATCATGCACTTTCTTCCATTTAAAGTGACAGCCTCGCTTCCTTTGGGATACTTCAATTGAACCTGTCATCACTTTGCTCTCAGGCAATGTGTTCCCAACCATAATTGCTCACTGCATGAAGCTTTCCTCATAACTTGAGCATTGCTGATAAAGTTACATTTGCCAAAGAATCCGGGTGTATGGAAGCAGGCCAAGGAGCATTCCAACCAGACCCAGTACCCTCACCCTTTCGCTGCATTTCCCATCACTATTCCACCTAGCCTGCATATCCCTGGACAATCTATCATGGCCAATTCACCCAACCTGCATTTCTTTGGATTGTGGGAGGAAACCAGAGCACCCAGAGTGAAACCGGTGTAGACTCAGCGAGAACATGCAAACCCCACACAGGCAGTTACCCAAGAATGGAATCAAACCCAGCTCCCTGGTGATGTGAGGCAGCAGTGCTAATGACTGAGCCACCCTTCCACATCTCATGCTCAGCAGGTCAATTCACAAGGAACACCAATGTAAAGTGCAAATGATGTTTATATTGTATGAGAGAAGAATGCTGACTGCTTGGTAAGGATGCTGTCATTTAGTAGAGACTTTGCCATTGAGAATGCACCAGGAAATGATGATTGGGGCAGATCTTATTAAATGGTGGAACAGGCTTGAGGGTCTGAATGGCCTACTCCTGCTTGATCACATGCAAGAGGGAGCGGAGTTTTTAATTGCACACCTACATCGTTTAAGATGGTCAAAATTGAAAAAAAAAGAGTAAAGCTCTAAAGTATACTCTAAGAACTTAAAAGCGCTAAATAACTATTTAATCAGAGCAGGCTGGAAGAAAAATGAGAAGATGCATTTATGAAAGTTGCATCAACCTATTCTTTAAGAGCTTTGCAATGTGTCCACACATGTATGTCACTTAACGTTAACCAAAATTTTAGTGTAGAACTTGTATAATTACCTGTCAGTAATAATGCAGGAGGAGCTCTCTTGTTAAGTACCTAACAGTATTTAAGAAAATAAAGACTTGTATTTAGATGGAATCTTTCATGGCTTCAGGATGGCCCGAGGTGCTTTAGAGCCAATAAAGAGATTGCAAAATGTAGTCAATGTTGAAAGAAATGGGAGTTTGGCTCAATTGTGCACAGTAAGATCCCACAAGATGTTAACAACTAGGCAATCTCTATTCGTGGCTTTGATTGAGGGATAAATATAGACCAGGACACTTGATTTAACTCCTTGTTATCCTTTGAAATAAAACCCTGTAGCCATTAGCATCTGTCAGAGAGAACAGGATGGTGGGGGCCTCAATTTTGCATCTGATCTGAAAGATGGCATTTTGAACTGTGCGGCCTCAGTAATTCCCTGGCAGTGGCTACCTAGATTTTTTTGAGCTCAGTCTTCCTGGAGCAGGACTTGAAACCTTCTGAGTCAGAGAAGAGAATGCTACCTACTGAGGTAAAGCTGGCCCTGAGATGCAGGACAAAGTCATTAGATAAGGAACTGCTCAGTAATAATATAGGCCAAATTCTGTGAGCTAGTAGAATGTGACATTTCTATGTATTTATCACGATGGGAAATGCATGAGGAGCTAACTTTATAATTTCAATACATGCACAGGATTGAGTACCACTTTCTAAACCAGCTGCACAATATTATAGTATTTAATGAAATATTTCTGTTAAAATTACCTGTTAGGAATTTGAGAAACTTTGGTATGACCTGACATGAAAATCCCTTTACGCACAGATAGTTTCCTACAATAGTAGAGTTTATTGGATGTGCTCCAAGATCTATAAACTGCTTTTCATTTCCGACTCGAATTTGGAACAGAACTGAAGGGAACTCCTGGCACGGAGTTACAAAGGGAAGCCCTCCTCCAAGAACTTTATTGTTCTGCTGTATTATTTTGCTGCCCTCCAAAGGTCATGTTCAGGATTTCACTTGTTCTCCTGGTGGTGACATCTGCAGGAGGAACCATCGCATTTGCTTTGCCCAGTGAGCTCTCAGTGTGCTACACCCTGCAACTGTTACTGCCCTCCAGAGATACACAGGCCCCGACTTGACAGTGATCATGTTTCAATGATGGCTGTTTCACAAAAGTTGAACCCTGGTTGTGCTTCATTTACCATGGAAGTAATATGCTTGCACCGGTACATCTCCAAACTACAGTTGAAAATGATCCATGTGCAGGTTTGACTGAATGTGGACTGTGCTGTCCCAGTATTACAAAGAACAAATATCAAAGCACTCAGGAAATGTATGAGTGAAGCCTAATGAGAATGATGCTAGAACTGAGAGGATATAACTGTCAGGAAAGGCTAGGGGTTATTTCCTGCCATAAGTAAAGGCCGGAATGGTTACCTAAGAGAATCATTAACGTTATGAGTATTTTTCATTAGTTAAGCTGTCACTTGTGCGACCATTCTGTGATGAAGGGGTCATCTTATGTGGAAAGATTGAGCAGGTTAAATCCATAGGCATTGGATTTTAAGAGAAGATTAAGGGAACATGCAACATTCTAAGGATTGATGTGCAAGGTAAAAATGAGGAATTTCTTCCCTCAGAGGGTGGTCAATCTTGAGAATTCTCTAAAATGGAGAGAGCAGTGAAGGCTGAATATATTCAAGGCTGAATGAGATAAGATTCAGTTTTGTCAAGGGAGTCCAGGGTTATGGAATCCTATTTCTTATTTAATTGAAAACCAGACACCATAAATATAAGATATTCACTTACATCTGTAACAAAGAATATAAACTAAACCAGAACCTGTTCAGAACATGCTACTTACCTGCATGGAATTCAGATTTTTTTAAATTCATATGCAGGATGAGTGTGGTGCTGGCTAGGCAGAATTTATTGCCCATCCTTAATTGGCCACATGGCTGTGGGCCTGGAATCACATATAGGCCAGACCTGACCAGGTAAGGGTGGCAGATTTCCTTCCTTAAAGGACGTTAGCAAACCAGATGGGTTTTTCCTGACAATTGACAATGGATTCATGGTCATCATTACATTCTTAATTCCAGATACTTATTGAATTCAAATTCCACCATCTGCCGTGGTGGGATTCAAACCTGTGTCCCAGAACATCATCTGGGTTTCTGGATTAACAGTCCAGTGATAACACCACTAGGCCAACACCTCCCCACATAAAAATGTAATTACAGTTACATTTACGAGGAGTTTAGATAAGTATTCAAAGGAGCAAAGAATGGAAAGACTGGATGAAGAAATTTACAATAAACTCACTGTTTGCATAAACCTGAGCAGAGACCCTTTGGACTATGGAGCTATTATTGTGCTGCAGAATCCCTGTAAGTAGTGTACAAAGTGCCACAAACCAGTAATAAGATAAGACATAGAAGCTTCCCACGTTCACTGGTGTATAAACAGGCAAACCACAAATTGGTGTCTATATCCGCAGCTAGTTTTCTTTTTCTGGATAAGACAGCCCTAAAATCTATGAGTAGACAATTCAGCCCCGGAGCCTCCTCTGCCATTCAATACGATCATGGCTGATCTCATCACAGCCTCAACTCCACATTCCTGCCCACCCCTTACTCTTCAACCCATTACTAATTAAAAATCTGTCTCCTCCTTAATTTTACTCAGTGTCCTAGCATCCATTATACTCTGGGGTAGTAACTTGCACAGATTCACCACCCTTTGAGAGAAGTAATTCTTCCTCATCTCTGTTTTAAATCTGCTACCCTTCATCCTATAGCCAAAACCTCTTGTTGTAGATTATCCCACATGAAGAAACATGTTTTCTGTTTTTGGAGATAGTAGGAACTGCCAATGCTGGAGTCTGAGATAACAAGGTGTGGAGCTGGAGGAACACAGCAGGCCAGGCAGCTTCAGAGGAGCAGGAAAGCTGACGTTTCAGGTCGGGAAACATTTTCTGAAGAAGGGTCCCGACCCGAAACGTCAGCTTTCCTGCTCCTCTGATGTTGCCTGGCATGCTGTGTTCCTCCAGCACCACACCACGTTTTCGTTTTTATTTTGTCAATTCCTTTCAGCATCTTATATACCTCATTTACATCTCCCCTCATTCTTCTAAACACCAGAGAGTATAGCTTAAATGACTCAAACTCTCTTCATAAAACAAGCCCCTCATGTCTGGAATCAATCTAGCGAACTTCCTCTGAACTGCCTCCAATGCAGCTACATCCCTCCTCAAATAAGGGGACCTCAATACTCCTGGTGCAGTCTCACTAATGCCTTGCACAGTTTCAGCAACCCTCCCTACATTTAAACTCTCTTCCTTTAGCAATAAATGACAAAATTCCATTTGCCTTCCTTATTACCTGCTGTTATTGCATACTAGTTTTATGTGATTCATGCACAAGGACACCCAGATCCCTCTGCATCGAAGCAACTCCGAAGTTTTCCCTCCACTTAGTTAACAGCCTCAGTAGAGGTGAGAGCTCGACATCAAGCATAACTGACTAACAGGTTCTCCCCCTCTTGTCACCTGTCATAGATGTATTGGAAGGATTTACAGGTTGTCAGAGACTTGTTTGGCCATGTTTTGAGTGTGTATCAAGTCTTGGAGTGGGGACTTCAATAGTAGCACCCAGCTCACGGGCAGGTCTGCTGTCGTCCTTATCACAGGACCTCCTCAGCCTGAGGTAAATGGCTAATTAATCAACAATTTTTTGAAAATCACAGAAATGTTGGCAACACAGAGAGAATATATTCAGCTCATTGTGCCAACCTCCTGCCCTTTTCTCCATACTCTTGCACACTATTACCATCCAAACAATCACCCAATGTCCACTTGAATCTGACTCCACTACATTTCCAGGCAGTGCATTCCATACCCTAACTACTCACTGTGTGAAAAAGTATTTTCTCACAATTGCTTCTTTGACCAAGTCACTTTAAATCTATCCCCTCTTTTTGCAAGCGTAAACACTTGAAGTGGTATCGGTTGGGGAGAGTGAGAGTTGGCCAGGATACTAGCAGGCTTCTGAGGACTCTTGTGGCTCAGTGTTTGCAAACCTTCCTCTAAGCCCGAATCTCCAAGTTCAAGTCCCACTGATTTTAAAGGTGTATCCAGGCACATCTGAAAGGGTTGATTGAAAATATCTCCCAGAGGAATTCTGTGTTCTTTTTCCTCTGAAAGGTGACATAGATTCTCTTGCATTGACTTCAACAAGCTATCAGAACCTCTGTTTCACCTCTCGTCTGAAAGATGGTGCCTTTGACAATGCAGCACCCGTTCACCACTGCATTGAACTTTCAGCTGTAGTTTGCTTGATTTCCCAGTCGATGTACTGCTGTGGGTAAACTCCTGTGCATTTAAAATGAGCTGCCATCCATGCCAGTTCAGTGCTGATCGACAAAGCTGAGTTCACATGTCTCATCATTAACTTTGTGCTAACATTAACAGCTCTGCCAACTTCCCCCATTCCACCCAACCCACGTGGAGACCCCCACTGAGATCAGGAACTAACCCATGCATATGCATAACCTATGCAGGGTGCAATATGTAGTCGTGAAGGAACGCTTAAGGCATTGGACTCAAAACACATTAGGGTGTCCCTTGCGCATGTTTGAATCCTGTCAACTACAGTTGAGAGCTGAAGGGGATTTCCTCCTCATCTTATTGGCTCCGGTGGTTCAGTGGTTAACACTGCTGCCTTACAGCGCCAGGGACCTGGGTTCAATTCCACCCTTGGGCGACTGTCAGTGTGGAGTTTGCACATTCTCCCCGTGTCTGCGTGGGGTTCCTCCCATGGTCCAAATATGTGCAGGTTAGGTGGATTGGCAATGCTAAATTGCCCATAGTGTTCAGGGGTGTGTAGATTAGGTGGGTTATAGGGGGATGGGTCTAGGTGGGATGCTCTGAGGTTCGGTGTGGACCTGTTGGGCCGAAGGGCCTGTTTCTACACTAGGAATTCTATGAATAAAAATTTTAAAAAACTATATCCTGCACCTTCTTGGGTGCAAGAGTACTGCCTACAAATTCTGATTTTGATGATTTGCAGGAGTTTCTAACATTGTTGGCAGTACATTAGATGCCAGGAGGCTCAGTCAAGCATTGTGCAGCAAAACTGTTTCTCATCTCCACTTAATTACCATTGGATCATATTATTAAACCTCAAAATCTTTTGAAATGTTGAAGTGGAACAATGTTCAATCAAAAACAAAAGCAGAAATTGCTGGAAAAACTCAGCAGGTCTACTAGCATCTGTGGAGAAAGGAATAGAGTTAACCTTTCGAGTGCAGTGACCCTTCAGAGCTCACTAGACTCCGGTCATTGGACTCGCAAGGTTATCCCTGCTTTCGCTACACAGATGCTGCCAGACCTGTTGAGTTTCTCCAGCAATTTCTGTTTTTGTTTCAGACCTTCAGTATCCACAGTTCATTTTCTTATTTAAATATTCCATCAAAACCTGTTTGAGCTCAGTGAGTGGGACAGATGTTTATAGAAGCCTTCTTGAACAGTTTCAGTCCACGGATGGTAAACGCGTCCACAATTAGGAAGAGAGTTCCAGAATTTTGCAGCAGTGACAGTGAGGGAACAGCAGCATAGTTTACAAGTCTGGATGGTGTGAGGTTGGAGGGGATGTGCTTCTGTTCCCATGTACCTTTTAAAGGTCTCATGTCCTATTCAAAGAAGGGCATGGAATTCTCCTGGCATGCCGCTCAATAGATTTACCATGACAGTCCAAAAGAAGGGCTTGCACTTCATTACCTCCAAACTTGATAAAGCACTTCACAGCCAGTTAAGTAGTTTTAACTTCATTCAGTCACTGTTGCAATATGGGTAACACAGCAGCCATTTTTGATTATCTGACGTGATGCTGTTGGTTAAGGGTTAAATGTCAGCTCAGATAGCTTACAAATGTACAAGGAGTCAGCCATTTGGCCCATCGAGCCTGCTGCACCATTTGATAAGGTTGTGGAGGATCTGGTTGTGTCCTTGCTTCTTTTTTCCTGCTTTCCCTGGTTAGTCAAATATCTAATTACCTCAGCCTTGAAAATATTGAATGATTCTCCCTCTACTGCTCTCTGGATAAGAGAAATCCAAAGACATGTGACTCTCTGAGAGTGAAAATTATTCCTCATCACCCTCTTCAATAGTTCCTTATTTCTAAACTCCCTAGCTAATTCTAGACAATTCATAGTATCCCTACAGTGTGGGAGCAGGCCATTCAACCCATTGAGTCTACACCGACCCTCTGAAGAGCATCCCACCCTATCCTTGTAACTCTGAATTTAGCATGGCCAATCCACCTAACCTGCACAGATCATAAGGAAACAGGAACACCCAGAAAAAACCCATGCAGACACGGGGAGAATGTGCAAACTCCACACAGATAATTGCCTGAGGGTAGAATCAAACCTGGGGCCCTGGCACTGTGAGGCAGCAGTACTAACCGCTGAGCCACCGTGCTGCTCACTTACAAGGGGCAACTTCCTTTCAATATTTGATAGTAAGAACTGCCAATGCTAGAGTCAGAGATAACACAGCGTGGAGCTGGAGGAACACAGCAGGCCAGGCAGCATCAGAGGAGCAGGAAAGCTGACGTTTTGGGTCGAGACCCTTCTTCAGAATTTTCTAAGAAAGTTCCCGACTTAAAACAACAGCTTTCCTGTTCCTCTGTTGCTGCCTGGCCTGCTGTGTTCCTCCAGCTCCACACTGTGTTATCTATTCCTTTCAATATATACCTTATCAAGTCCCCTCTGGATCTTTATATATTTCGGTAAGGTCACCTCTTATTCTAAACTCCAATAAATGTAGGCCCAACTAATCCAACCTTTCTTCATGGCATACTCCCTCATCCTAGGAAATAATCTAGTGAACCATCTCTGAATTGCATCTATTGCAGTGGTGTCTTTCTGACCATTAGGAGACCAAAACTCAGCACTCCAAATTAGGTCTTACCGATGCAATGATCTCCTAATCTTCAAAATAGGACCCTCTACCCAAGAAGGCAAGCCAGGCCTTGGTTTAATATCTCATCTGAATGATAGTACTGTGCCTCACTCAAGTGTGGGCATGGACGACATGTTTATGGTTCTCAGGTGGGACGTGACTCTGAATTTAGAATGCTAATCACTGAACTCACAATTGACCCCAGAAAGTGTTCATTTCCGTGGATGAACTTCCTTGAGGCTCTTTCTGAACAATATGACAAATCACTGCTGACATGTTAGTCCTTATGTTCTAGCCCTTTTCTCTCTCAAGTCAAATTAATGGCAGCTGCCTTTTGTCTCCAGTGTTCCAAGACATGTGGCAGAGGGATGAGGAAACGAATCATCTACTGTAGAAGCACAAACCCCACGTCAAAGCCTCATGCTGTACCAGAGAGTCTATGCAATCAGGAAGTGAAGCCGAAGAGTCAGGAGATCTGTGTGCTCCGACGCTGCCCAAAGAACGACAGACTGCGATGGATCACCTCACCTTGGACCAAGGTACTCCAAGTCATTTAGAGTTAAGGAGACAGTGCATGATTTTGTGGGCCATAGATTCTAAGGGTAGGAGTTTATAAGCTACTCAATTCAGTCCGTGATATTGCTGGAGAGAGGCAAATTGCGGGATGTTGCAGAGTGACACTGGGATTTTGAGGTGTTTGTATATTTTATCGAGCAACAGACCATTCAGCCAAATGTTCCATATTGGCCTCCTTTCACCATATTAACGTAGGCTTTTACTCCTGTCTCCCTCCTGTTAACTAGCTTCTCCTTAAATGTACACACCCACTACTAATCAATCCTTGTGCAATCTCATAGTGTCCTCACTTGGAGTAACATAGTCCAAAATCACACGATACCAATTTATAGTCCAACAGGTTTATTTGAAATCACAAGCTTTCGGAGCACTGCTCCCTTGTCAGGTGAAGGAGCAGTGCTCCGAAAGCTTGTGATTTCAAATAAACCTGTTGGATTATAACCTGGTGTCATGTGACTTCTGACCTTATCCACCTCAGTCTAAGCACCAGCACCTCCACATCATGAAGTGACAGAGCTACATGAGACAGCTGCACAAAGGAATAAAGGAAAGAGGGATATTGTTTATCAATTGAGATTAAGTAAGGTTTGGTAGAGGTATATGTACAATATAAGTTTCTTCTTTTTCTTTAATGAGATATAGACATTTCTGGCAAGGCCAATAATTATATTCCATTGCTGATTACCCTTGAACTGAGTTGCTTTGGAGGCAATTAAAAGAAAACCATGATACTGAGAGTCTAGAAGCTTGGATGGTAGATTTCCTCCCCTAAAGGACATTTGAGCATCAGAGATAGTGGGAACTGCCGATGCTGGAGAATCTGAGATATCAAGGAGTCGAGTTGTATGGACACAGCAGGCCAAGCAGCATCGGAGGAGCAGGAAGGCTGACGTTTCGGGCCTGGACCCTTCATCAGACCCTTCTTTTGAGCATCAGATATGTTTTTAAACAACAATCAATAACATCTTTAGTGTTCACTATTACAGGCCACAATTCCAGATTTTATTGGCTGAATTCAGATTCTGAAAGCATTCACCTGAGTCTCTGGATTGCGAGTTTATTGAAATTAACACCACCAATCTACAGTATGAATGCCCTGTTTTTGAGCGGTAAATTCCATGGGAGATTGTTGACTGATTTACTCGTTATCTGAGTGCACAGACAGCAAATTATAATATCGCGGTTGCTTCTGTTTAGTTGACCAACTTATGGGAGCAGAAATAGGCTCTTCAGCCCCTCAGAGGTTTCAGTCCAGGTTGATCAGAAGGTGAGACAGCAGCATGAGATGCTCCATCATGGCATATCTGTAAATGATGTTGACTATCACATCAATGTCCCACAAGGATAGCCTGGAATGCTAGCTCAGCAAGATGCCTCGAGTCATGTTGGAACAAAGGCTGTGTGGCAGGGCTGCTAATGGGCTAAGCATCATAAGGGAGCATGATCTTCATCACTGTCCTCTGCACTGACCCTCATTGAGTCCTGATCTGAGTTTTTTGCAGCAGAGCCCGTGTATGACCTCACCTTGCTGAGAGCTGGCAAGTGAGTTATCCTTTTCTGCCCCGACCTGATTGCAGCCTGCTCATTCCCCCTTCCTCACCATAGCAGCCTGGTGGCAGCGAGGCTCAGGTCAAGAGGCAGAACCCCCTGACTAACGCGCCTAGCAGACTAGATGCAGTGTAGCTGATTTCCATGGTTTGAGAGACTAGAACCAAGGGACACAGTCTCAGGATAGGAGTAGACCTTTTAGGATTGAGATGACAAAACATTTCTTCAATCAAGGGGTAGTGAACTGTTGAGTTCACTATCATAGAAAGCTTTGAGGCCAAGTCACTGACTATATTCACAAAATAAACATACGTTTCTCGATTTTAGAGGCAACAAAGGGTATGGAGAGAAAGCAGGAATATGACATTGAGATAGAGAATCAATCATGGTCCTATTGAATGTCAGGGCAGGCTTGAAAGGTCAAATGGCCGACTCCTGTTCCTAGTTTCTGTCTTTGTAGAGTGCCTCCAGTGTGGAAAGAGGCCATTTTACCCATCAAGTCCGCAGTGATCCACTGACCCATCCGAAGACCATCCCACCCAGACCCAGCCCCACACCCTATACCCGCTGCCCAGCATTTACCATGGCCTATCCACCTAACCTGCACGTTTTTGGACTGTGAGAGGAAACCAATGTTAACTACAGTGCCATCATGCTGTATTGTGCTGTTACTGTTTCCAATCCTCCCGAGACTCCTGTGGGGCTGCAGGTGACCATAGGAGTCGAAATGAAGGAAATCAGAAAGTGATGTGGAGTATGTGACAAATGGGTGGCACGGTGGCTCAGTGGTTAGCACTGCAGCCTCGCACTGCCAGGGACCCAGGTTCGATTCTGTCTTTGTGGAGTTTTGCACATTCTCCCCATCTCTGTGTGGGTTTCTGTCGGGCCTCTGATTTCCTGTCACAGTCCAAAGGTGTGCACGTTATAGATGGATTGGCCATGGGAAGTGCGTGATTACAGGAGTGGGGTGTGGGCTCAGGATGGGACACTCTTCGGAGGGTTGATATGGACTTGATGGGCTAAATGGCCTGCTTCTGCACAATGGACATTCTATGATGGGTGGAAAGCAAGAGGGTTCCATCATGCTATTAGAAGCTTGCACTTCCTGGCAGATAGCAGGCTGAAGGTGAGCTCGGATTTGAGACAGAGCGCAAGGCAAGCTTTGCGTGTGTCCTATGGAATTTGGGAGCGTTAAAGGTGACTTTACCGAAGTATACAAGATCTTGAAGGGACTTGACCGAGTGGATGTGGAAAGGATGTTTCCTTTAGTGTGAGAGTCTCAAATCAGGCGACATAGTATAAAAATAAAGGGTCGCTCATTTAAGACAGAGATGAGGGAACTTTTTTTTGCTGAGGTTTCTGAGATTTTGGAATTGCTTTCCTCAAAAGGTAATGGATGCAGAACCTTTAAATATTTTGAAATGGAGTTAGATAGATTCTTGACAACCAAGGGGATAAAAGATCATCGGGCCTATGTGAGAATGTAGAGTTGAGATTAAAATCAGATCAGCCATGATCTTATTAAATAGAGGGGCAGCTTGAAAGGCCAAGCGGCCTACTCTTGTTCCTTTTCTGTATGTTTGGACAGCATCATTCTTGGTATTCTTGACAACACCAGATGCAACGGGCTCCACAAAATCTGGGCCCTTGATGTGGAGCCTTTCCTTCATAGAATGTGGGCATAATCATGGAAATGAGGAGACAACATGACGTTAGTGTGTTTTTTTCTCAATGGAATCATGCACGGACAGATTTTAAATGAAGAGTCCCACACAGGAAAGTGAGAGCAAACACATTATGTAACTTTGTATAAACTGAGTCAGATTGTTTCTCTAATGTAAAGCGTCGTGTTCTGATACGGTGTGTGTTTTGCTTTGCGTGCAGTGCTCGGTATCCTGTGGTCTTGGCCTACAAAAGCGAGAGCTGAGGTGCAGTGAGAAAACCCAGTCAGGAAAACACATCGAGTTTCCTCAGAGACGATGTCGTCACTTGCCCAAAGCCAATGTCGAGCTTGAGCGTGTATGTAACCTAGGAGACTGCCCAAAACGTTCCATGGATCAAATACCCAACCATGCTGGATCAGCTTGGTATGCATCACCATGGCAACAGGTAGGCCAACTGAAGCTATATTATAGATGTAGCATGTAGATTGAAATTCATGTTCTTTTAATTAATGGGAGATTTTGGAAGAAACGTTTTCTCCAACAAATTGATTTTCCCCAGCCCTCCATTACCTTCCGATGTGGACTTCTCAACTTCTGAAGGTTGTTGATTATTTTGCATCATTAGTGAAGCACTTGCAAAAGAAACTTGGACTCTCACCTGTTCCTCATTCCCTTCTGCCCCTAGCAATTATAGACCTGATGAAAAATGGCAACTTTACCTACTCTAGGCCAACAGGTTAGCTGGTGGATATAGTCTATTGGTGCTTTCCAGGAGGAGGTGGAGATGTTAAAAGGCAAATATTTCCCAGCTTTTGTACAGATGAAAGGAACTCAACCCAAATGGCATGCTACAACAAGAGCTACTGAACAAAATAAGAGCTCATGGTGTAGGTCCCCACATATTAGCTTTGATAAGGCTTGGTTAGTTAGTGGGAAGCAAAGAGTAGGGAAGATTGGGTTGCTTTCAGGTTGGCAATAATGACTTGAATTTTAAAAGTACCTCATAGAACATAGAACACTACGGCACAATACAGGCCCTTCAGCCCACGATGTTGTGCCAATCTATTATCCTACTCTAAGATCAAACTACCCTGCATGCCCTGCATATTTAGTACATTAAAGTGCATTAGGGCATCCTGAGGCCGTGACAGGCACTAAATAAATGCAGGGTTTTTTTCACAGCGTGCAGTGTGACCTACTCCAGTATTAACCAAAGGTGCTTCTCTTTCTCCCAGTGCACAGTAACATGCGGGGGAGGAGTCCAGATGCGTACGGTGCATTGCCTGAGGCAGGGGCGGCCTGCAGTGGGATGTCTAGCACATCAGAAGCCAGCAGTGTCAAGAGCTTGTAATACCAGCTTCTGTCCATCTCCCAGGAAAGGTGAGGTTACTTCACTGTTCTGACACCCATCTGCCTGTCAAAAGCTTCAATGTTATTCACTGTGCTTCACCCTGTTCAGTCCTTCACATTATCTAAGAACTAAAACTAACATAAATCAGGTGTTTAAATTGATAACCCAACTCTTCCAGCCCTAAAATCGTGTTCTTGTGGATAGTCTCATTTGCTTCTGATGATAGTTCATTCTTCCACTAAATTCCAGTGTGATGCTGACCTAAAAGATTCAGAGTTCACTTCCTCGACTTTGCTTATTTGACAAACTTGGGTTGGGGTTTAACTCTAATCCTGACCAACCCAGGGATGAAAAGATAGGAGTGATCTAACAGGCTGTCTGAACCATTAGGGTAAGGACAGCAGGTGCATACTAACACCACCACCTACAAGTTTCCTGTAATTCTCGTGTCATTCTGTTTTGCAACTATGTCAATGTTCCTCCACTGACACTGGTCAGAAACCGAGAACTGACACCATCTACAAGCATCCAGTTGGCATATTTTCAGAGTGTAGGAAATAGGTCAAAACGTTTCATGCTTTAAGATTAAGTTCTCTTCTTCCCAAGTTTATATTTTCTTATCTGTTCTCTTCAAAGATCTCAAGTGCGTTGACTTCTTCAGCTGGTGTCACCTGGTCCCACAACATGGCGTCTGCGGTCACAGGTTCTACGGCAAACAGTGCTGCAAATCCTGCAGCAAAACTAATCGATAGCAATCGGTGTGGAAGCTGCCACACTCTGATTTCAGCCTTTGTCCTCAACCGCACCCACTCCCTCCCCTCCCGGACCCCGTGACATCTCTTCCCCCTCCTCCACGTGACGGCATTATTTATTAGTCCCAGTCAAGACACGTCGACCCACGTGCATTGATCAGGTCCAGCGAATGGACAGACTCTGGACTCTGTGCCTTCGATAGAGGGGTGTCTGGTGCTAGTCTGGGCAGTAGACTTGGTAGGACGGAATCGCGGAAGAGGCGCACATGGCTTGAAGGACTCGTGGTAAGGAGATGACCAGGTAATCGTCTGGTGCTACACAGACTTTGAAATATTGCGGTGTTCACCGTCCAAATCAACTTCACTCGATGGGAGTTTTTTTTTACATTTTAGTTTGAGGGCCCAGCTGGACAAATTGAATCATGTTCAGAGCTGAGAATCTGGTGATTATCTGGGAATATAAATATATATATTATATATATATTTTATATATATATATTATATATTAAAAATGTGCATTACCTTTTTTTAACAGAAGTATTTAGAATTTTTTTTTTCTTCCTGGACTGCCGTTATATGTGTATATAAAACAAATCCTAAGGCAAGAGCCAGTGGACTGGAGAAGCTGTATGAGAAAGAGTTATAAGACAATGCACTTACTGATGGAAGGAGCGTGACTGTTTTCATTGACATAACAGCGGTAATATTAACTCTTCATGGTGCTAACCTCCAGCAGGAATCTCAGCTGGCCAGTCAAACTGTTACAAGCAGCATTACAAATCTTGCTTTCCTATAATGTCGCATCAGCCTCATAACTGCAAATGTCTGTTTTGTTAAGATGGGCAGAACACACTTGTCAGATTGTCAGGGATGAAGGGAATGCAAGGAGAAAAGAAAATAATTAAATAACCAAAGGGTACAAATGCAGTTCTGCTGATTTTCAATTCATGTTGACAGTGTCATTGTTGCATTTGTTTTTGGAATTGGATAGCACAGATGAAAGCCATTCAGCCCATCATATCTGTCTTGGATCAGTGAAAAATGATTTCACACCCCATTACTGTGCCACATTAGGTACAATGAATAAATATTTGGAGATTATGCACTTAACATCTCTTAGATGCCAAACCTCAGATGGTAATTTAAATGCGTGAGTGAGCTCGTATAACTTTGGTGAAGCACACCCAGTTGCTGTCACATGGTTCGAGACTTCTTGTCCACTTTGTCTTCCAACTGAGATTGATGTGGAACACCCCATGCTAACTCAGCAAGGGCTCAGGACTTCAACTGATCCTGAGGGATATGACATGTTCCACAAAGAGGAACTTGACAAAGACTCTTGTCTGTCCAACTGTCATTCAAAACAGTATCAAACAACTTTTGATGGTTTTCCCAACACACAGTGACTCCAAACTCATGCACACACAACCATCCAGCAAAACATCATGAATAAGAATTACAACATTTAAAGGCATGTGGATGGATATATAAATAGGAAGGGTTTAGAGGGATACAGGCCAAATGCTGGCAAATGGGGCTAAACTAATTTAGGATATCTGGTCAGCATGGACATGTTGGTCCGAAGGATCTGTTTCCATGCTGTACAACTCAATGACTCCATTTTTTTCCCAATCTTAAAGGACTCTCCACGATTGCCAGGATTCAGATATAGCCCTAGAGGTTTCATCACAGGATCCCCTGCCTCAGCTGCCAGGGATGGGATTGGGAATAAATGCTGTCCCAACCAGTGACGTCCTTATCTCATGAACACACGTCAAAATAAAGCCTGCTGTCATCCCTGATGGGTGACCCAGTATATTCAGCCTCAAAATACATGACCTTCTCACAGCAAACTGAAAATTAAAGACCATTATCACCCAAATTATCATCTACCCTTTCTTCCATCTCTATTTTGATCACAAAATAGAAAGTATTCAAAGAAATATTGAAAAGCTTTTAATGTTGCAGTACTGTTTCTCCCTGATTATCTCAAAGCTGTCTGAGAAGTTAATTATTAGTGACTGGCCATGTTGGCCTAATATTGATGACCACTGGATTAATCCAATGACATTAAAGAACAGGGAGATGAATTTATTGTTGTGGAGTAGGCCAGGGAATGGGTAGAATTTCAGACCAGTTTTCTTCAATAAAATTACCTACAGAGAGAGTGTGATCCGTCAGTGTGTGGCAGATTTTGACACTTGGTAGTGGAGCATTTGAAATGGTTTGAGGGCATACAAGGTGATAGTATATGTCATTTTCCCTTCTCCTAGCTATCACATTTGCATTGGAATTTCCAACAAGAAATTAAAACAGGGCCTTGTGCACAAGCTTCCTCCTAACCCTTGACCTGCTGTTATTCCTTTCCCCCTCATGCCTTGGTAGCTTTCCATTAAACATATCTATCCACCTGCCTCAACTATTACATTCTCACCATTCTCTGGGTGAAAATATTTCTCCTGTATTCCAGATTGGATTTATTGCTTTCTATTTTATGATCCCTGCTAAGTGGAAGCATTTTCTCAACGTCCACTCTGTCAAACATTTACATAGTTTTAAAAGCCGCAATTCAATTACGAACCCCATTCCCGCCCACCTCTACCCAATTAGCCCCCACCACTCTTCTCTAGATCTCCAGCTTATTCGCTGTATTTACACTGACAATGACTGTTGTTCCACTCAGATCTATTTAAAACACAAATCCAGGGGCTACAAAGCTGTGCAGCATCACAATTACAACCCCCAATGGATAAGGAGAGACTGTTTTGACTCGTCCTCATTGAGAAGTCACTCTAGACTGGAATCATTAACTCTGTTCCCCGCTCCACAGATGCTGCCTGATCTGCTGAGTTTCCCCAGTGCCTTCTCGTTTTATTTCAGATCTCCGGCATCCACAGTATTTCGCTTTTAACTAGTCTACATCCCAGTGCGTTTTCTTAGAAAAAAGCAACATGAGACACAAATGCTTTAATTCCATTTACTCTCATGCCAAATGTGTTGGAGCTTAAAGAAGGATGAAATTCCTGTTGTACTAAATCTGGACAGGATCAATCTTTTTGACATTGGGGACTGTTATTTTTAATCTCACCAAGGTTATAATTGAGCATTGGATTGAAACTAGTTTGGTTTACTTCTGCCTGTCATTCCCCTGACAGTAATGTATGTATTTTATATCTGATTGTCTGGTTACAAGGTTAAAAATTGCCTTTCTAAACAAAATAATTTGTTTATTGTTTACCCCTTGTACATTTTTTTTAATTTATTAATAAATTCATGTAGTGGGTTTCTCTATGTTTAAGCCAAGCAGGAACACAAAATTATTGTATTGATTGCAATATGTTGCTAAAAGGAAGTTTTTAGTTTGCTTATGTGCATTAATACTGTAAGTATTATTTAATTTTTGTAAATTTTTTTTGTAATAAAATGCATTCACGGATTAACTTGTTTGCAGGATTGTTTTCATAAGCCATGGAAATCAGACACAGTAAACTTGTTTCAGAAGAGTGGAGGAAGGTTTATTTTGTATCTATTTATACTCTAGCTGACCTGAGGAATGTTCAAACCATGTACTGAGTAACTGGGGCATTGAGTGTTGGAATGGCTTCACCAGGTACTTACACCTGGGGAAGCCCAAGTTAATTGACCTTACAAGATTTGCCCTGCATTCTCTCCTTTTTTTTGCACAACTCTCAACATTTTCCATCACTTTGTCCATCCAAAATGTTGATTGTTCCCTATTGGTGTTCATCACGACTCAATGCAAATTTCAGCCAGAAGGATGTGGATTGCTAGCACACGTTTTGTGTGACTTGGGCAACATCGAACACACCATGAGAGACAGTAAGAACTGCCGATGCTGGAGTCTGAGATAATACCGTGTGGAGCCCACGGAAACTGGAGGAGCAGCACCTCATATTCCGCCTTGGGACCCTACAACCCAATGGTCTCAATGTGGACTTTACTAGCTTCAAAATCTCCCCACCCCCGACCTCATCCCAAGACCAACCCTCCCTCTCATCTCTGCCTCCTTGACCTGTCCGTCTTCTCTCCCACCTATCCGATCCTCCCACCTCACTGACCAATCCCTACCAATGCCTACCTGCACTCACTATCACCACGCCACCTACCTTCCCCAGCCCCACCCTTCCTCTATCTATTTGTTTCAGAGCCCCTACCCCGCCCCCATTTCTGAAGAAGGGTCCCGACCCGAAACGTCAGCTTTCCTGCTCCTCTGATGCTGCCTGGACTGCTGTGTTCCTCCAGCTCCACACTGTGTTATATCAACCACACAATGCAGTTCAATTATCCTCCTTATGCCATGGCGCCAAGGTCTTCACCTCTTCGCCTGTCTCCCCCATTGTTCTGTGTTGTTGGGCTCTGACATTCCGACTGCCTCTTTTTGACATACATCATGGACGAACCAGACTCTCCAACAATTGAAGATCAAAGACCCTGCCCAAAAATCCCGGCTCCCTTGCCAATGGCTTCTCTGCTCCTGAGCTAAACCAGAATATTGCAAAACCTTAGTTTGGTGCTGAAAACAAAATTCAGTGTTGTGTCAGAGCACTTCTGGATATAAAAGAAAAGAATAAAATGTGATTAATGAGAAACACGGGTGATTTAAGTGGTGGGGGTTAATAGATGAACAGTACGGTAGTTGATTTGGTGGCAGGAAAGAAAGACATTTTGTTGTGTACAATAATGCTTTGGATGTTAAAAGAAAAGAAATAAAAAAATTATCTCTGGCCTCTTGTGGTGCGGTGGTAGTGTCCCTACCTCTAAGCCAGGAGGCCAGGGTTAAAGTCCCATCTGCTGCAAAGGTTTGTAACAACATTTCTGAACAGGTTGATTAGAAAATATTAAAAATCTATTTGATGCGCTTGAAGGAAGACAGCTCACTCTGCTACGTGTGACTCCAGACTTGTAGTAATGTGAGACAACAAGGTGCAGAGCTGGATGAACACAGCAGGCCAAGCAGCATCATAGGAGCAGAAAGGCTG